TATATGAGTGCAACAGTCAGTTTTCAACCAGGCAGAATATTTAAGGGCATTTTTCATCACTTTTGTAACTAATAAATCTTTAAGGCATCATATAAGTTGCATCCTCAAGGGTATGAAGCTAATTTGAGAAAAGACTCGGTTCAGACTATCTGTGCTATAAGCAAGAAGACTTCTCAGAATATGTTTGGTATATGGAGCCAGTGTGGTGTAGTGGTTAAAGTGCTGGACTAGGATCTGGGAAATCCAAGTTCGAATCCCAACTTGTGCCATGGAAACTTGCTGGATGATCTTGGGTCAGTCACACTTGTAGGCTAACTTACTTCACAGGGTTGTTGTGAAGATAAAATAGAGGAAAGGAGAATGATGTAAGCCACTTTGCGTCCGCATTACGTGACGGGTGGAATATAAATAAAATAAATAAATGTTGCTTCTGTTATTATCGGTCTAGCCAAAGACCTATCAAGTTGGATGGCAGGTGAAAGGAAAGAGAGTTCCAGACCTTTCCCAGTCCCACTCCACACCCATCATTGAGACCTATGAGCATAGGGCAAGACTAGGCCTGTTTTTCCATAGCTGGCCCTATCCCTTCAAAACCTGGCATCTGGATTGTGAGAAACAGGGAATTCTCAACTATGGAATATTTTCAGGGGAGTAACAGGTCCACAGATTTTGGTTGGCCGTGATACCTAGTCAGCTGTTACTCTCTCCCTTCTCCTGTGTCCTCGCACACACAAAGGGTTTGGAAAAGGGGCAAGGTCAGTCTTTGACTTCACCCCATACTTTGGATGCACTCAGAGGCGAGAAGTAAGATGCTCGTTGCTTCTGAGAGTCTCCAAAGCCCTGCATGAAGCAAGACCAAGGGCACCACACCTTCAGGTCAAGATATTTATCTATTTTATTTATTTCATTAGATTTTTTAGGCTGCAAGCAAGGCACAGGGTGGCTTACAACAAAGGTGTGTACAATAAAGAAATGAAGTTAAAACCAACAATAAAATACATAAGACGTGTATCAGCGAATAAAACAATCAATTTCCAAGATGGTGGAAAAAAATTCAGCTTCCACAAGCCTCGGGGCGGGGGTTGCAAAGAATGGAGGGTATAAGAGTGCCAGACTACATGCTGTCCAGTCGCTGTCCTCAACCGAATGCCTGGCGGAACATCTCTGCCTTACATCCTGCAGAAAGGTAACAAATCCTGTAGGGATGTTCTCCGGTAGAGAGTTCCACCAGGCAGGGGCCAGGGCCAGGATCTCTCTTGGGCTGGGGACCACCAGGAGGTTCTTACTTCCTAAGCATAACACTCTTCTGGGGGCATACTGAAAGAGACGGTCCTGAAGGTATGTGAGTCCCTGACTGCTTAAGGGCCTTAAAGGTCAAAACCAGCACCTTGAACCTGATTCGGTGCTCCACTGGAAGCCAGTACAGCTCACGCAGCACAGGTTGAATATGTGCTGTCTGAGGGGTCCCTGTAAGGACCCACGCAGCAACATTCTGGATCAGTTGGAGCTTCTGGGTCAGTCTCAAGGTAGGCCCTCACAGAGCGAATTACAGTAGTCTGTCCTGGAGGTGACTGTTGTATGGATTACCGTGGCTAGGTCAGAGCAAGACAGGTAGGGAGCCAGTTGCTTAACCTGGCATAGTTGGAGAAACATCAGCCTGGCAACCTTCGCGACCTGGGCCTCCATTGACAAGGTAGCATCCAGAGTCACGCGCTGACTCCTGACAGTCAATGCTGGCAATAGGGGCATTCCGTCAAGGGTCAGGAGTTGGCAAGCCTACTGTGGCTCCACCCACCCAGGGACAGAACCTCCGTCTTATCCAGATTCTGTTTCAGCCGACCCTGCTTTAACCACCCAACCACAGCCTCTGGATCCTCAGCTAAATTCACAGGAATGGCATCTGTCCCTGGTTAAATATTGGGAGCAACTCCCAAAAAACTTTTTGGCTGCTTTTACAAGCTTTGGAATAGGTATTAACCATTAATTGTTCTTTCCTTGTGAAACTTTATATCTTTGAATAACTGGAAACCTATACTTTTGAGTAATTGTAAAATTATATTGTTGGAATTTCATATGCTATATGATAGTAAATTGTAATAATTAGTATGCAGTAAACATTTTGTGCATGGTGTTACTTTGTTACTTGTAATCTTTCCACACCGTGTGTTCCCGGTTTTGTTGTTATCAGCATACTAATGGCATCCCAGCCCGAAACTCCACGCCAGTTGGGTGAGGGGGCTCATATAGATGTTAAATAACATCAGGGAGGTGAACTATTGCAAGGGAGGTGAACCAGTGCAAGGGAGGTGACCATTGCAAGGCTACCCCACGGACTCCAGCGTCAGCAAGGCAGTGAGTCAGTAGATTGCCGTGGACTGTGTCAAACACTGCTGTAAGGCCAAGTAGTGTCAGCAGTACCAACCCATCTTGATCCAGCTGCCTGCAGAGATCGTCAGTGAGGGCGACCAGCACCGTTTCCATTCCTTGGTTGGGGTGGAAACTGGATTGGAATGGATCCAGC